GATGTAATATTTATCAAATAATTGACAAAGAACCAATAGGATAAATAGAGTCGATCAATTGCGGCTTAGCAATCTTTAACAATAAGAACGATAAGAAAGAATAATTATAAGCCACAAAAGATAGATTATAAGTAAAACACATAAAGCGGATTGAAAGAACATATAAAATAATGTCAGAAAGATTAAGGAACATAAAATAATATAAAAGATAATATAAAAAGATAGTACAAGGATGGAATATGAAAGATAATATATTAAAAAGAACATATATAAAAGATGGCATATTAAAAGATAGCGTATTTAAAATATAGATAGCATATTAGAAAGATAGTTCAAAGATAATATGTAAAAGAACGTAAAAGATAGTATATAGATAGAATAGAAAGTAGCATAAAATTTGTATAAATAGAGAGCGGAATTCAAGGTAATTCCACAGTTCTCATCCACAGAACTCAATAAAAATATAAGTTTCATTTAATTATTTGTTAGTGAAGTTTAATATTAATTAAAGTTTAAGATGAATTAAATATACGTTTTTGAAAAGTAATAATTCGTAGCGAGAGCTATCGAAGTTTGAAATTAAAGGTAAAAGTGGATATAATTTGGGGAAAATTTAGAGAAGTCAATTTTATTTTATATCGTTTGATGTTTTATATTACTAACGCTATTTATGTCATGAACCAAGAATGTTGTTGTATATTGTTCGTTGATTATGTTGTTCGTTAATTATGCTGTTGATTATTTGCTCGTTCGTTCAATTGTTCGTTCGTTCGTTCATTCGTTCGTTCGACCATGGGAATGCCCATTCGATGTGGCAACTCTGTAAATTGATGACAGAGGGAATTGGGGGATCTCACCGTAAATTGTTCCCAAATTACAGAAATGATATTTGCGAATTTTTGGCTCAAGCCTGCAATCAAAAAATGTTAGTCAAACCATAATATATAAAGCATTGAATATCAAGAATTATTTTGTTTTTATCTTACCAGAAGAACCGGAAGAGCTTGGAGACGAATTACTTGAAGAGCCTCGTGAATTAGTTTCAGATTCATTGGTCGAATTAGCTTCAGATTCATTGGATACACTTAGTGTTGTCATAGGGACGGGACATGTCCATAGATGGGACAGGACAGGACAGTCCAGGACACGTCCAAAGATTTTAGCAATGTCCGGACATTGGAACATTAAAATCATGTAATCTTAAATATGAAATTATAGTCCATTAGGTGTTCTTAATAAGACAAATTGTAAACTTGGACAATTTTTGGATGGGACGTGGACGGGACATGGACAGGACATTAAAATTTTGGCGGGACATGTCCCATGTACAACACTGGATACACTTAGTTGATCAAAATCGGATCTTTGAACTACTGCATAATGTTGATTTATTTTGTTTTGGAGATCTTCGATAATAACATTAATTCTGCTAAATTCATTATGGCAGGCTTCTACTTTCGTAGTTATGTTATTGACTATTGAAAAAATTTTCTGCGTCTCAGAGGCGTAACCAGCATTATGTGAATTGATTTTAGCAATTTCTCCGGTAAGTTTCTTATTAAGTTCATTATTGTTTCTGACAAGCTCCGCAGTGAAAGTAGAATAGTGTTTGGAATCATGTAACAGTTATTCGAATAACTCGAGTATATTCGAGTATTCGAATAAACATAGTGGTTATTCAAGTATTCATTTAGCCAGATATAGTATAGTTAAAATTCTAATTGGATATTAAATCCTTAAATTTAACTGAGTTAAAATCATAATTCAGGCTAAAAATTATGTAAATCATTACTATAAAAGGAAATTTAACTTATTCGAATATTATTCGAATACACTTTATAAATTTAAATGAATACTCGAATATATTCAAATATATTCGATTCCAAACATTAAAGTAGAATTAACTTCAAAAAGACGTGTGGAAAGTTCGTTGGTGATTTTAGTGTTAACTTCAGTGCTAAGTTTTTTGTAGACATCAGTAAGGAGTCTTTCGATTTTCGCAGTAATACTTACATCACGTGTCTTATTTTTTTGATTTCTGCGGTAAGAATACCATTAATTTTGGTCATACATGCAGAAAGCTCATTAGAAATTTTGGAAAATTGGTTTCTGATGGCATAAATCAAGAAACAGGTGCTAAGAAGAATAGAAACTGTAAAGTCTTCAAAGATATGCCACAAGGCTTTGTTTTGCAAGACAAGTGCAGACATATTTTCAGAGTGAAGTAGAAAAAATATAGATCACAGGTAAATTTTTTATGATTTATTAGTATAATTTATCGCTAGTGAAGTTAAATGTGAACTCACATTTCTTTTATACATTTTACAGTCAGTTCCACGGCAAGGATCCCAAAAGAATCACCCATTAATGCTAGTATAATTAGAAGAGAGAACCCGCATTGAAATACAGGCCTGGAATAATTGTGAAAATGATATTATGTTCATACCCCTATTTCTGAAAAAAGAAATGTTAAGATCCAGAGTGGCGCCTGTACTTAAAGACAAAAAAAGTTAGTGCATTCTCATATCCCATATTTCCACAACATATTCAAGCAATGAAATAATAATAATATTTTTTTCGTAAATGCTTGGCTGTGAGGGCCTTATGTAAGAGAAAATTTTTTATTAAATAAAATTTCACTAATAAATCACTACAAAGGTTTCTTTGATATAGAGTACAGTATCTACATTATGTGAAGTGCCTTCGACTAAAGTCCACTCCCATTCCTATTCACTTAATTCATTTATGTCTAAAGAAAGAGAAATAGAAGAGACACTGTTTGCTTCAATAAACTGTTTATATGAAAATAGTGTGTCAACTGAAGAGTGGGATTCCAAAGGGACCTCTCAGTTAAAGGTTGAAATGATTTTTTTTTGTTATTTTGAAAATAAAAAAGGCAGGCTTTTCTTCATTTGTGACGCAGTTTGATACAAAATTTGGCACCTATAATGTAGATCAAAAGTGAAAAAAATAGGTAGGGAGGGTATTTATGAAAAATATCAGACAGATCCGCATGAATATTTTTGTGAAAAATTAATCATAACCCCTTGTACCCCATGATTTGCAAATATGCACAGCTTAGTCAGCTTACCTAATGCTTATTTGTTGGTCCGATAAAAATTAGCAACAAATAGGTGATAGACAAAGCGATGATAACAAAGAACATTGCATACGCAGACACAAATGTGACAGATTATTTATTTTATATATTTATATTACTTCACATGTTTACAATAAAAGCTAATACGATATAAAACTACTATAAAGGGAAGACAGCCCAGATCTTAAAAATTGTCTCTCCCCCTCATATAAGGTTATGTTTCAACACCAGAAATGTGATTTATAATTTTTGTAATTAAAAACACTTTTTTTTAGCTTACAAAATTGAAAGTTTTTTTTAAAGTAAATAAAAAATGAATATATTATCAACTATCCAATTGGATTAACTTCAATCAGCTTTAAAACAACATCAAACTGTCTTTCGGTGAAGTATAGCAAGTGATCCAAACAATTTATCACAACTTCAAAAAGGAGCTTTTTTAGCATTTCGAGAAATCAATAATTATATAGTAACAGGACCTTCCACTATGACATTTGAAGAGTCTCAGCAAGTTTATGCTGAAATACTGTTTGTATCACAGTATTTAGGTATAAGACGTGTTCTTGAAAACGATATAGTTTGGATTTACTGATAAATGCAGAAGCCTTCATCTTGAATTTATGTTAAATGATTTCATAGATGAAGGCTTATTAGAATTTTTTTATTCTCAAATTTCCTCTACATCAAGATGTTTAATAAGTAAATTATTAATTCAATAGAAAGTTTGTCGTTTCATGATTGGAAAAGAAGTGAATTTATGTAAAATCATAGATTTTATAAGAAATACAATTGGTACTTTTCTATCACAACAACGATCTGTATAATTTCTGATAGCCGACAAAAATTATTGGATATAACAACCAGCCCAGGTATATATCCTGAATACAGACGGTTTTTCACAATTCAAAGGATTATCAAAGCACCTCCATCATATGTTTATCAGGAATTTGAATATTATAAACAAATTTCAACAAATCAGGCTATATTTCGTCAATTACCTGTATCTGCTGCTAAAAGAATCAACTGTATGGCTATTTCTTTGAAAACATCATTGAAGTATACATAGGAATTCCATAGAATAGGTAAATTAAATGATGATTTGAACAATAATTTCATTGATTTTCACTATTTTAGAATAGCAGATTCAGTAGATCTCACAAACAATTATCAAAGCATAATGGACCCACAATCTGTGTTAGTAATTAGCAAAATCAAACCTTGTAAACGATGTGAATATTTATATAATATTAATTATGAAGAAATTGATGCTAAACAAATGGATGAATATTTTATCATGTGTAATTGTGCTGAAAGTGAAGGTAGTATTCACCTAGAAGCTCCACAAACTAAAAGTAGATTACAGGAATATACAGATCTAATTGTAGATTTTTTTGGAAATAGAGAATACCTAATTTTTATTAGTGTTAATTTATTTGCAAATTTTTTTCGTAAATTAATAAGAAATTAAACCATAATATGTAAAAAAATAATAATATATTATTTTTGCTGGACTAATTAAAACAAAATCATTTATTATTGTAATATTAATGGAGTAATGGAGTGGAATTTTTAATTTCCTTTTTTGAAGCAAATCCAACAATTCACACCAGTATATTTATTTATTTATATTGATATATTATTCCCACCTAAGAAATTTTCAATTTTAATCGCATTTTACAAGAGAACCCACAATTATGATTTACTAATTATTATACTGTATTTATACAGTATTATAGAAAATTGAATTAAAAGAAAAGACTTACATAAAAATATTTATTTGATAATCAAAACATATTCAGTAATTAGTATTTTAAAACAAATCAGAGCTTCTTATGCCTGTATCTTTGTAATTATACAAAACTTTTAGCGGTTCATCATCCAAAAGTATGTACAATTCACCACTACCACCCAAGTATATCTGTGCACAATAAAAGTCTTCATTACCAATGCAAACAATTAAGGTCTCCCCAAATTTTTTTAACTCTTCCTCATCAATACAATATGTTGTTAATTCTAAGATAAGAAACCCTCGCATGTAACCGTCTTTATCAATATCTAATGGAATACGAGCATAGTTATACTTTGCACAAAATTCCTTAATTTTTGATTCCTTTTCATCATCTAACTCTAGTGATTCAAGTTCAAGCTGACGAAATTGGTTAAGTGCCTCAATATCACAATTATCAAAACACCAAAGCCCGTTTCCTTTACTCCAAAAATCATCAGTATACGTTCGTGGAGTTGGTGGCAGATTAGTGAACCAATTTCTTCTAAGTTCATCAATATTGGGCTTGGAGTGCTTGGAGTGTGATTCTGGCTCTGGCTTGGGATGTGTTTGTCCCATTTTTTTCATTGAGACTTTTATTATAAGTCAAATATTAATATAAAAATAATATCAATAGGTACGTCATTATACATCATAACTGATAATCACATGAACCAGTGACGTTTATTATGGGTACGATATCTAAGCCACCCATGTGATTCGAAAAAAAAGAAATAATATTTTCATTCTACGAGCTGTAGGCGCTGTACATAATTCTCCTAGGCGGTTACCAGAAAGATAATAGGACTCATCATTAGTGAGGTTTTTCTTTCATATCCTCCATCATAACAGTAATAACCTCTATCACGTTCACTATATTCATTATATCCACCATATCCATCATCATTTGAATCGTCTGGTATCTATTCATTTGTTTCTTTCACTGGCTGGGGTATGGAATCAATTTCCTTATCAAAATACTCACAATCCTTCGCACATTCTTCCAAGATCATTTTGTAGTAATCGTCCACAGCTTCAAGTAAAGTACTTACCTCAGCCAAAACTGCCTCCATTGCATTACTCTAATCATCCAAAATCTCCCCTTCAGAATCGATGATAGAGGCTTCATGATCATCTGGTAATTCAGTATTTGGATTCTTGGAGAAATTATCTATGATCTCTTGAATTTGATCGTTAGTCAACTCTGAAATGGAATTGGGACCATATTCACTAAGATACTTAATTTTATCTATACCTATTTTCTCAATTATTTTAACAAGCTTCATAGACCTTTGAGTCCTTCTAATTAGAGAACTATGGGAGATTTTTGGAAGCTGTATACCCATTTCTTTTGATCTCTTCTCACGAATGGTGACAAGTTGTTCTAGCATCTCATCATAAATTATACCTTTTGCTTTTTTTCTCCGATTTTGCTATTGCTATTTTCCACGAGTTCACTAAAGTGAACCATGAATTCTTTCCCAAAGTTAACCCAGCATAAGATTTCTTCCTCATTGGCTTTTTTATTAGTGCGATATTCGGCATCTGATGCTTTATCAAATAACTTTGCTAAATCGAGCAGAGATGAAGAGCATTTTAGACGATGGGCTGTCGCTGAAATTTCAGTCTCATGAAATAGTTCACAGAGTGAACAACCAGAGGAAATTGGCTCTTGATGTTTTACATCATCCTAAATACCGTCAATTATCACTTGGGCAATTTTCTCAACACCTTTTTTCTTATGACTGTTTTGACAAGATTGCTTCACAACCTCCTGTTCTGAAGATGCTACGCTTTATTACGTCACTTTATTTCACTACTAACAATTTTCTTATGAGCCTTAAGCAAGAAATTATCCATCTCTTTCTCTTCAGTAGGTACCGTTATCGCCCCTGGTACTGCAACCAAATTGAAGTTAGATGAATTATTGTTAGGAGTATTATCATTTAACGTTTGCTTCTGTTCTACTTTTGTGAGTCTATCTCTAAACTCAGCATTCTCAGATTTCAACTCCTCAATTGTGGCCTTGAGTTTGGCATTCTCAGCATCACGCCTCTCATTATGTTCCCCATTCGCTCTTAGAACCTCAGTACACATGCGCTTAAGTTCAGCTATTTTAGCATAAGCATTTTTTGGCAGTAATTTGTTTATCAGTGAAAAATTATCAGTAAATCAATAGCATCTCTCTACAAAAGGCAATTTTCTTCATTATGCCAAGCTAATAAACTGAAATCATGCAAATATTTTTGTCACCTGATTGGGATTTATCCTTTTAATCATGTATCAGAGAAATTTTTATTGTAATTCCAGATGAAAAAAATATAGTCAAAAAAATAATAGTGAATTACAGAAGCATATAAAATTTTTAGTTTATTCAATAAGACCCAATCTTGAAGATGATTTGGAACGACTATGTTTGAATCCTCATAATACCAAACATATCTTAAAACAATCAAATTCTTTTCGCAAAGTTCTTTTTTGGGCTGATCATGCATCAACTGCTTTTCAAATTCTTCTGAACCTTTATGAAAATATTTTACAATGTTGCTCATGTTGTTTGCCTTGTACCTCTATAGCAAATCTATACTGTGGATAATAGATGTCAAGTTCTAATCCTCGAGAATGTTCAGGTATATTCAAGAAATCTGGTCTGTGGATGCTAGAAGGTGGGCTAATGTTGGTTATGACTTTTCAACATGTTTATTTATGCAATATGAACACCAAGATTTAACATGCTTAATACTATTAAAACTAGTGAACTTATGACCTTTATTACACATCCATTGCATCAGACACAGAGATTTATATATTCTGTAAAGACATATACCTCCTCTACTGTGAGCGATTTCCTTAGCTTCCGAAAGACCACAGGGAAAATTACCAGCACATTGTGAGTACCATCTTCCCATATTTTTTAAGCCCAAATTTGTTGGATTATTGTATGTCTGCATAAAATAAATGGATAGGATGTTTAATATGAACCTATGTGGCTAAATGAAATGTTTTATGATTTTATTACTTCGGGAAATAACATTTTATTGGATATCAATGAGGACAACATTCTTTTTTAAGGGTTTCAAGCGCAGTGTTCTAGAAAAAAAGTATTCTTTAAATACCTCTATACATAAAACAGGTGTAGTGAATCAATATGGTTTATATATTCCTAAGTCTACCTGATAAAAGTTGTAGTCCATTCATGACCTTTGGCACATCTCCAAAACATTTAAGTATTTGTATTAACATATTCTGTAGAAAGGCACTTACCACCTCATTCTTGTGCAATATTATTTGCTAATTGAATCGTTGTTTACTACATCTTCAGTGCTGTGTATTGTATCTTTGAATTGGGGTACATTCTTGTTCTGATGTAATATGTCCTTGTACTAGGATAATCTTTTGGTTTGGTACAACACGTTTTCTGCCTGGTGTATTACACCTTCGACACCAAGTTCCCTTAAGAATATCTTTTGCCGAAGCCCTTCCACCTATGGCCTTCTTTACACTGCCATTTAAGAGGATCCCATCTATTAATATACTCAGTTGAAAGCAAAGACCTCCTTTTCTCTCTGAAAACTTCCTCATATCTTCAATTGTTCGTGTATGACGATTTTCAACTGCACACCATAGGCACCACGTTTTGCTATTCTTCATACAATTAAGGTTTGCTAATTTATTACCATAATATGTATATTTAATATAAATTGTAACAAATTATTGTAAAATATTGTAAGTTTAATTGTAAAATTTATTTATAAAATACATTATCTAATATAAAAATTAATGCCTGTTGACTTCAAAGATGATCCCTCATGATCAATGACCACCTAATGTTTTCCGAACTGTTGTCTCAACAGATAAAGATTTATGATATTAATCTATCCTTAGTAATAAACTCACTCCCCTTCCAATAGATGTAATTTCCCTGGCTTCTCCTATTTCTCAACGAAATATGCTTCTAATCTTACTATCAGTTTTGTTTACCAGAAGATTTATTTAATCCTCATTTCTTCATGCAGTTACTTTGCATTCCTAAGCGTTCATTTCTCTTTCACCATTCTTCATCTTTTTGATTTAATTACCAATACTATTAGAGAAAAACAAAAAAAAAACTTTCCAAAATCCTGCGTAAAGAATATAGAAGCCGCTGTCTAAGAAAAAAATAACAAAGTGGGAATAACTGTTCGTTAGTACAGATGAATTAAAGAAAAAAAATACTTACCAAGATTTGAAAACCAATACGTCTAAAGAAATCCAGAGTTCTACGCGTCCAAACTCCAAAGACCTATTAAGTCTAAAAGAAAAGAGACAAATGGTTAGTAAGACTTTTAAAAAATAAAATTAAAAAAATCGTTTCATTGATACATACGAAATACAGTTTTTCACGAATCCTACAAAAAAGAAAATAGAAGAATGTAAACAAAAGGTTTAAAAAAAAATCAAAAGGATTGATTGATACATACGAAATACAGTTTTTCACGAATCATACAAAAAAGAAAATAGAAGAATGTAAACAAAAGGTTTAAAAAAAAATCAAAAGGATTGAAGTTTTATAACGAAACTTACTTTGTCTTTTCCGATGTTATCCTATTCTATCGTATTTGAATTGAAGCTGAAATTTCTATAAAAAAAGAAAAACATTAAAAATTTTTTTTAAAGGTTCAAAAATTTTTCTAAAGTTTATTACCTTATGGCAGCAATTACTCACGTGTTGAATTTCCTTATAGCGCTAAGAAAAATTCGCATGAATTCATCTTAATATCACCAAACACCTCTTTATCAATATCAAAAAATATTATTTTCCTACAAAGAAGATAATGTCAAAACTGTTTTTCTTAAAGTTTCGAAGTGATGGTGATAAACTGATAAAGAAATTTTTTTTTTTATCATTTAATACTCGAAAAAAGAAGTTAAAAAAAAAAAGATTTTTAATGCTGTTTTCAAGATTATTCAAAAATTCGTACAAGATCCAATAATCGGAAGTCAGAACCTACAATAGCAAATAATATAAAAAAAATCAAAACATTTTTTTTTTAATAAAAAGTGGATCAAAAAATTTCAAAACTTGCTTGTATAAACGGAGCTAGCTTCCCTTACCGAATTCGTTACCGTATCTGAGAATTTTCAACGAAAACTTTAATTTAAGACAACGTTGACTTTTCTCAAAATAATTATGAGTTTATATAATTACAAAGAGAACGTTTATATACTTCAAGGCCTGAGCCCTATGCGGACTGATAATGAATTGGTAAATGGGTAAATGGTCGGTTAAAGGATCGGTCAAACGGTCAGTCAGAAGGCTTGACTGTTGCCATCCCTAGATAGGGCTGATTTCATTTAGTGAAATAGAAATTATAATAGGACCCCGAAAAAAGTCTCATGTAGAGTAAAGAAGTTGAAATATCATGCTGTTCCCTTTTCGATAATTTTGATAATTCTAGTCCGGAAATTCTTTCCTATTTCAGAAACTGAACGGAATTACCATAATTCCGGCCATGAAAGAGACTAATAGTAGGTAACTTACCTATATGAAGCTTTTCCAGGCTTCTGTTATAATCTTTGTGACTTTGTCGTAATTACTAAATTTAATAAATATATGAAATGCAATTTAAGTCAAGATCAAATTGTATAATCGCCACTCTGTTGTAATCACCCGCATAATGCACTACGTAAAAGTACGAGTGTGGCGTATATTATGCATATTATGCATATGCCTTCCCATTGAAAAAACCATTTTAATCGATAAATAAAATGAAATAACTCTTACTAGTACCTCTCCAAATCTGACTAGTTTTTTTGATTTTTGATTTTGTCTCATATTAAACTGGTAACCTATAAAAAATTTTTTCAGAAAAATGATCACGTGTCTGAGTTTCTTCGGAATAAAATGATCATTTATCGGAGTTTTTTCCAGAATTTTTTTTATAGGGTAAGTGAGGGATCTATATTATAAATAATTTTTTTTTAAAAGAAAATAACTTTTGACTTTATGAAGATAATATAAAAAATGATTATGCATGACCAGACTCATGTATAAATCTTATTCTTCTTATAAGGTGGTACTATATGTAAAATCTCGTCGAATCATGTATCGCTGCGTTAGAATACCAAGGTTTCGCATCTGGCGGTCAATAAAAGTGACACCCAAATTTTTTAATTATAAATTGACATGCTCCTTTTTTACTTATTCGCTTAATTTACAATTCTTCTAATAACGCATTGTAGAAACTGCGCCACAAGATAGCCTTATAAAAAGTTTATAATGTAGCAATATGATTATGTCAACAATAATAGGATAATTTCCCATACAACTTTAATATAATGCAACATTGGTAATTTAGCTGTGAAAGAAGAGATAAAATTGTTTAACTGAAGATATTCTAATAATTAACTTATGTAAAATCGATTTATCTTATGTTTCTTGAGACTTTTCACTAATATCCATTTCGCCGAAACCCATCTCACCAAAGCCATTTCGCCGAAGAGATGTTTCGCCGAGGGGACGTTTCGCTGAAATACCATTTCACTAAAACCCATTTCATCGAATTCCATTTCGCCGAAAAATTATTTATTTCATTTGATTATTTTGTTGTTTTTATATTAAATAATACATAAAGAAATCTTTTCTAGAAAAATTTTTAAATTAGTTGATCTTTATTAAATTTATCTCATTGTTTATAATACATTGATCTTTTTTTTTACTTACTTTTTCGTGAATAAAGGTTTTCAGGAAAATAAAGTTATTTATTTTATATTGTTTAACAATTAATATCAGTTACTTGAATGTTAATGATAATATCCTGAAAAAAAGAAGATCTCTAGAAATAATTTATTTTTATTTTCATTGCGCAATGAATATTTTTTTATAAAATGTTAATCGCTACGAATGTCCATTCATCGAAATATAATTCGGTGAAATGGAATTCGGCAAATGGACGATTCAATGAAATGGATTCGATAAAATGCGCTCTCGATGAAATGTCCTTTCTGCGAAACATCCCTTCGGCGAAATGACTTCGGCGAGATGGATTTCGGAGAAATGTACCGTAACCACTTGAAACAATGTAAACAAATATGCTTTACTTCATAAAATCAATTAATTAAATAATTGGAACGTAACTTACTATCTGTAATGAATTTTTTATTTACTTTTACGTTAAAATTTAAACAAACAAGTCATTTAGTATAACAGAATTTTATAATAAATCTCATAGATAACTTTTGGATTACAGAATGTTATTGTATATGACTATATCGTACATGAATGTATTTTTTTTATAACTAATTTTACTCTGTATTTAATGGGTGTATCACATTATTTGATATGAAAATATTATAATTATATTTTGCATAAATAAAATTAAATTCGGGCGACTCAACAAACCATTTCGTTATCGTTATAAATTTTGATTATTTAATCTTTTACAAAATAGATACTGTATATGATAAAAATATAACCAATAAAAATCAAGGTAGAATATGATAATAATATAAATAATAATTCAGTATAAATAATTATGAAAGTAAATTAGGATAAAATCGCAACTTACACATAAACAAATTAATGAATACCGTAATTTTAGGCGTTTCAAGTACATAAATGTGTGCTCTCCGTAATAAATGTGAGGTATTTCCGTTTACATTTAAGTATTATAATGAATACTTTCAAAATGGCATAACAATATGTATCGATATATTAGAGGTTAGACCCGGTTAAAAGTTAACCCTGTTGAACTGTTCAAAATGGGTAAACAGAATTGGATGGTCAAACGTAGATCGGCTGAGCTTAAATCAATTTTTTTTTTTATATATTCAAAATAAAAAATTATTTGAGTTTGACAATGAATGAATTTGATACTTGGATCTTCAAGGCATTTTGCCTTTTACTTTAGCGTCCTTCATTATTTTAATGCATCAATAAGCAGGGAACAGTAGTTAAAAAAACTCTGTACATTGTAAAATAATATATATATAACGAAAAATGAAAATCACGTAATATATTGTTGAACTAATTTACGACGCAGAAATTAAAAATTTAAAATTTTAATGTGAAAACGTGAAAACTTGAAATTTCCCAGTGAATTGATTTCGGTTATTATCTGGTTATTTTTTTGCCATTTCAGCATATTCAAATATTTTTTACTTTTTGTTATCGTTTGAACGCAAGTGTAATTTTCTTCGGTTGTACAGTATATATATATGTTAAAATTGTCTTACATTTAAGATAATTAAGTTATGATAAGAATGGACCAAAACTTTTTATTAATTTATAACACATTATAGAAATTAAATAATAATAAAGTTTAAGGAAATAGAAATAAAAGAAAATAAAATAATAATAATGAAATTAAAGAAGTAGAAATAAAAGAAAATAAATGAATTAAAGAAATAGAAACGAAAGATAGAAAAAATAACAATAATTAATTATAGAAAATAGGAAATGAAAGATAAGAAAATAAAATAACAACAGTGAAATTTAAATAAAAATAGGAATAAAAAAAAAATGAAATAACAATAGTGAAATAATAATAAAATATCAATAGTGAAATTTAGATAAATAAAAATAAAAGAAAATAAAATAATAATAATGTTTCATTAAATGACGAAAATTAAAATAAACTCAACAAAATGTAATTCTGTTGATGGAAAAATGA